AAAACCATAACCAGGGAATGTTTTGATCTTCCCATGAAACCTTGAAGGGAGATTTAGGTACATCGATAGAGTCCTTGACGCTGATTCTAAATGTGGACATTAAAACTGCTACGTGGACTTTCTAAGAAAGTTGTGAGCCCTAAAGGTTGCAAAAGAACGCTAGTGATGAGGTGCAACCCATAAGGAAACACGGCTACGTTTTGCCTGGAACTTGTTCTATGAGGGTAAATGGGTGCAGTGATTACGAATATGAGACTCGTTTTTAGCGCAAAGCCACGGCGACTATGATTCCACAAGGTAAGCTTCCCTCAGTGACGTTTTTTGCCAACGTTGAAGACTCATAACTTTCTTAGGACTCCACGTAGCAGTTTTAATGTCCACATTTAGAAATCAGCGTCAAGGACTCTATCGATGTACCTGAATCTCCTTTCAAAGTTTCATGGGAAGATCAAAACATTCCCTGGTAATGGTTTTGTAAGTGAATTCCATGTCCGGTCTACAAATATGACTACCACAAGAAATGATGAAGTTGCTTAATTTTTTTAAGCAATTTTACGTTCCAAAACTGCTGGTATACCGTTTCGAACCTTTTTCAGTGGAGTGAATAATTTGTATTGTAAAAATAGAGGCAAATTACAGATAAAAAGTACTGATATGCACGAAAGCAATGTAAAAAGTCTAGTTCATAAAAAGAATGAGCTTCAGAAGCAGTATTTCGATTTCACTTGCATATCCAAGCAGTTCTTCAAAAATTCTGAGTTCAAAATGAAGAAGATAAGGAGCCAAAAGGAGCAGCCAAGATTCGAACATCACTTTGCCCTTAAATTATATCGCAGCACTACACACGCTACTGCTCCAGGCTGTCTTTGATGTTAACCGCTGTCTATACAGTTTTTATTCAAGAGTTCTTCGACTGCCTATGAGAAGGAAAGGAGCTCAAAATACAAGTTCTGTTCACTGAATTTGACAGAACACTCAGTTTAAAAGTCGGTTAGGTATGCCGTGTATCAAAAAATTCTCATGAGAGGAGGTAAGGGAATCGACTGGATGGATCGGCAGATAAATTTTAAAAATTGTGAAACAGCATTTCTCATGGAATTAGATAATGATAATAAATCTTTACTTCACTTTGCTTACCCTGGTACATACCCGTCTAAACCCGACTCTTTTGTGAATTTTTGGAAATATTAGCACGGATGAATAATTGGAAGCGACGCTCAGCGCAGAAGGAAGAAATGGTTAAAGAGGACCACTTCCTTCATCTGTGGTCAAGTGTTCAACGAGAAAACCCTTTTTGGACGAAGCCAGCAGCTCTCATCTATAGTCCGCCTATTTCTGACCCTATATGTGACACCTCAGCAATAATTTCAAGCTAGATCATTGTTCACAAGCAGTTTTAGTAAAGAAAGAAATAGTAGTAGTAAAAGCTAGGAAAAAAATTCGAATTTTTAGTTTCCCCAAACGTCCAATGTAACACAAAGAACACGCCCTGAGTTAAATATGTAGAGTTATTTGCAACATCAATCTTTGGGAACAATTGAGTCACAGAAAATGAGAAAAGAAAACCTGAAAAATTAGCGCTATTCCTGATCAGAAGATTTCCGGGCCAAAATCGGAACTGGGGAAACAATCAGAAGTGATGAAAAAATTCCTCGAATTCTGACCTTTCACTAAGTGAGAAAAGGGAAACTCCAGTTCGGGGGGGGCACTCCATTGCTATCTTATCCGTAGTACTAGAGAGCAGTTCTTTGGGCTATCGAACACTACGGATAAGATAATAAGTGAACGACTCATTTCGAGCGTACTTTTGATAAGGACCGGTGGATGTCCTACATTCCACACACCTGCCCACATCCTATCCACTTTTCTGCACAGGTCATCCACCCTGGAGCTCCTCCACCCTTAGCCCTAGGCAGAGGTGTCCATTCTCCTGGTCCAGGACCGTTTCCTTGGACCATGGCAGGCGGAAATGTGAAGCATCTCAGGGTTTCTTCCACATTACACCGATACTTATCAGAAGTCTACTTTAAATGAGTCGATTACGTGTCGTGAGCCCTCTAATCCTTATCTTGAGTATTGGAGAAAAAATGGAGTGCCCCCCCCCGAACTGGAGTTTCACCCTCAGAAGATTTATCAATGAAAATAGAGCCCGAACAAAATCGAACAAAATGCGATGGCAAATTTCGAAAACTTTTTGAATAAAAAATTACACACAGGCAGAAATGCACACGAGCAACAAATGCTTCATTTCAGTCAGTATGAGGAATTGCCCCTGCTTTCAGAGGCTAAACAGATTTTCAGGAATTATTCCACAGAATTATGGCTGTCAGTGATAGCCTTATGAAACAAGAAGAATACGGTCCTCAATACATCATTTCTACAAATTGCTTGATTATAATCTAATCGACCAAATGAAATGGAAAAACTGATTTACTCTTCTGAACCGAAAGCAGATGAACTTTGTATCACTGATCAAATTGGCGTCAAATGAATAAATAAATGCAATTGCAAGTTTGTTCGGAAAACTACTCATGATAGAGAAGAATGAAGCAGAACACACTTTCAAAAGAACACGATTAAGTTCATTTTCGAAAAAAAAATTTCACAGAAGGTTTAAATCTGTCGAGATAACTTGCAGCAGAGGTTCTACTGTAAAGAATTTTCGGTTGAGTGTCGATAACTTTTAATGAGTTAACTTCGAAATATTTATGTTCCGTGAAAACGTGTTTAGCCGCTTTCGCCAAATTTCTTATAGCTCGAAGAGACGGATGCTGTTCTTACGCACATAAACCAAGGTTCAACCCCATGCTCGGATCACACAACACCCAAACGATACAGCGAATGATGAAAGGCAGATTTGCTTGATCGTTGTAAAACAATTCATCATAAAATCTCAACATCAAAGAATTCTTGCATGTGTCTTACTCGTAATATAATTAGACTTCTAAACAAGGTAATTCCTCTGGAAGCAGTTATTCAAAACATGGATTCTTAGTATTTGTCCAGTTTAAGAGCAAAATGTTTAAAAAAAATTTGGTGAAACCGAAAATTTTTGATAAAGGCAGACTTCCACTTTCGAGCTTATGGCTTTCGGTAAATGGCAATTCGCTGCCCTACACTACAGCCTTTCTATCTTATTTCTAATACAATACTTAGAAGGATGGAGAAACAACTTTTGAAAGCGGTGATTCAGTAAAAGGCTGTAAAAAGCGAGTAACTATTAAGGTACATTCTAAGGCAAAACGATAGCAAATCTGAACGGCATAGTTTGGAAAGTATATTTCAGATTCGATACAGCTGGTGGACTTTTTGAGGGAATCATGGCGGGCTTGCAAGCGGTTTGCATTCATCAGCAATCTCCTTCATCAATTTCTGGCACGTTTTCCACTAGGAGGTCTTAATGATCTCTACTCTGTTTCAGCACTGTTCTAGATCAATAAGAACAACTGACCCATCCCATAGTGGATTTTTCTCAATAGAAGAAAAAAATTAACCTTCGATGGCCTGCTCCAGGTCTGCGTCTGCTTGAAGGATTTTACGAGTCACGAGTTCCAATGGACCGGGCCGCGCCTCTAGTTTTCGACTAAGATTCCGACGTATGCGATCTTGTCGTAGTAGACGCGCCCTCTGCTCTATCAACGGCGCTACACGCCCATCTGAAAATAAAATCTGCAATAATCCAGAACATTCGAAAAGGACCTGAAAGAAAACTGTTGTTGCTATTCAGCCCTAGGAGAGCTGATCAAGGCATCAATTCAATGAAAAGGGATAGGTGGGCTATGCCACAAGCCACTGGATGAGGTTGACCTTAAAGGCACGCTCCGGGATTAGGCGCGCTCGCCTGTTCCATCCCGGGGGTAGTAGGCAGGCGGACAAGCGTTGATGTCGCGCCCCTTTTGCCGCTTGAAAGTGCGCGACAAAGGCGCAAGGAGCTCGTCCGACCCGCAACTCACACCTTCGTCCGCAAGCCCCACCCTCCGCTGTCGGTTGCCACGTGGCGCTGCTTGAAAAGCGCGGGCGCATTTGAGGCAGCGGTCCCATTGCGACCCAATGTCATTGGCACTGGAGCAACTAGAGTTAGGTTCGTGAAACTCGTCCAACGCGCCCTTCTCTATCCCAAGGTGGAATGCGGCTGAAATAGGGGAGGTCTCTGTGCGGGCGTAATCGGTGGTTTCGTTTGCTTTCCTTCTCTTTTCCAGACCACCTCCCACCTCTAGCTTCATAACTGAACGCTTTTCCACACCTATTTTATCCCGAATCTTGCCTTTAAGGACCCTTCTTTCGAGGAAGCTTACTAGATCTTTGTTGAGAGTTACAAAATGGCACCACATATAAACCCAACTTCAAATCTACTTGGGGGTTAGACACAGGTCAAAACGTGAGATGCAGGAAGGGTCATGAAGGGGCAACTTTCAGTGTTGTCACGTTTTGGATTAATCAGGCATTTGTTCTGATAATCAGAAATTTCATACCGCAAGAACTATGAGGACGCTGGGACATAAGTAGGTTGAACATTATGAGGGAAAAGAAAGGAGGTCGCTAAAGAGAGTACATGTTCACATCTAGAGGGACACCTGATTCTAGCAACCATAATATACTTCCAACTCCATTCTTTTCCCTATTTTATTCTTCTTTAACGTCACATCGATAATTCCCCTAATGGAGCCATTACTCAGGAGGTCTCTACTCTTTACAAACTACTTGTTTCTGACCTTTCACTTTATCCCTCGGTCATAATTTCGAGCCATATCACTGTCTGCGAATTGTGTGGAAACAGTGCGAGAAAGCATTAGGAACAACAAATCAGACCACTGAAGTAGCTAGGGCCGCACTGTAGCATAGCGCGAGCCAGAGTTATCAAACGCTATTCGCGTGAATGTCACAGAAAGCTCATGAAGAGCCTGCGCCACAGTTTTTTACAAGATCAAACCTGATGATCTTAAAAAGGTGGCAAATCGTTTCTTTTTGAAGCATTCTGCATGAGACTATTCCAGTGGCTGATCTATGATAGATCAAGTTACTATTACCTGTAAGCACTTCTTTCAAATGATAGGGAACAGCCCTTACTCAAAAGAAGGCAGAGCGCAGTGGCTCCCTGTTCACGGCAAGAAGCCAACGATGCCATCCTTGGTACACCTTGATCCTTGAAATATGATTGCAACGCTGCCGAATTTTCGGTAAACGACATAGGGTACTGTAAGCTACCTACCCTACTGATTTCGGCACAACTCCCCCACAAGAGTTTTGAAAACGGTTCTAGAATTAAAGAATACGCACCCAAACTGCCTACATCTTAGGTCCCGTCCTCCAATAGGTCACACCTCTCGATCTGTCGCTAATATCGCCATCTCAATGATTCCCATCTGGATTACGATATTAGGGGCTGATTACGGTAGGATAAGATGCGACTGAAGCTCCAACAATGAAGTTATCATTGACAGAGCAAACAAGTTACAACGTCAAGTATAAGTTCGAACTCGGTCGAGATAATCTCTATGTACCCACACATTTGTCGAGTTTACTTCGTCAAGTCGGACTCCATAGAGTGATTCAAAGATCGTGAAGCTGTTAACTGAACTGGTGTGAGTTCACTCACCAGATAGTAAAATGTGCTGATTGAGGAGACGTTCTCGAGATGGGCGCTGTTCGATCTTCTTTCTCAACTGCTCACCTCGGGCAGTGGCCCACCCTGAAATAATTTGGCGTCAGTCTAAGTGTATGTGTGTGTCTCCTCCACGTGCGAGGGGGCGACACACGCCCTCGCCTTGAACCATGTGCTATTCGTACTCAGTGTGGGCATATAAGAGTTCGTTTTAGTGCATTTTTGCGCCACATACAGCAGTCGGGGGTGAAAATCAGAAACATAAGAGGACAGATTCACGAAGTACAACGGCAGATAAGCCGGCTGGCAAACTCAACGAGACTCATCGCGCTGTCGATGGATGGGCGATCGCATGCCCCTGGACGTCCATAAAGTAACAATGTGAATGTATGTGTAACATCATTTATCCGATGCGACCATATGAATGAACTTTCGCCGCATTTATCGTGAAAGCAGTCCAACAAAGAAAAACAATCTCAAGCAGTTCCAGCGCACAGCTTGCACACAACGAGTATGAGCAGGAAACGACTGTTGCCACACAAATGAGAGCATTAGGTGATAACTGAGATGAAGGAGAGAGGAATGCGATGAAAAAGAACATATTTCAAACGAGATATGAACCAACGACGTGGGTCGATGGGTACCAAAAGTCAAACGAATGCCAGTCACGAGCGCTTGACAATGGCTCACTGGATGAATCTTGATCACATTCAGCTGACAATGTGAAGCATGGAACTAATGGAAGTGGAACTGTATGAATGCGAGTTTGCTACGAGCTACTGAGAGCTCAGAAGTCGCATCAATCACACTTGTTAGGAGCTTAGAGCGAACGAGCATTGAACGATGACCGCCGCTGGTGTTCCAGCACAGGCGGAAAGCCGTACTAAAACTCGTCCGAATAATTCCGAAATTCACGTCCGGCCAAATAGATCAAAGTACTTTTCATCAATCACCCAGCTGCGAGTGAAATCATTTCACAGAATGGAGAAAAACCCTTGATCGTTCGCTGATGTGCCATGCACCCGTCGCAAGTACGAAGATCGTAACTGCCCGAAAAATTCGGGTAAATGCATGAATAGGAACGGTGGCACTTAGTGTTAGACTCAACCAAGTAAAGTGTAACGAGGAAATATCGATCAGACACAAAGACAAAAACCCGGAACGTATGAAGAAGCTCTGACATGCACATTTTCTTCAAAAGCCAGCAGACACACACTCACACACGTACGCTCAATCACAAGCAAGATCGTACATATGATGAACTTTGAAAGTTCGGTTGCAACGGAATCAGCAGCTCGTAAGGAGAGCACAAACATAACTGAACACAAAACGATTACCAAAAGTGGGTGTTAACTGTTGTCACGTCGGGAACAAACTACGAGAACGTCGTGAACATTAAAACGGGTTATAATTTATCAAACAAATAATTTAGTGAGCTCTGGCTCAAAATCTCATCTATAACAGTTAAGCGGCATGATAAGCACCTAGCAGATGCGATGTAGTAGATTGACGGCCAACACAATTCGATTATAATGTACGTGAAATAATACAATTGGGAATAAAAATCATTTAAAAAAAATCAAAATCACAGAAGCTCTTCATTGGTAAGAACACGTCGAGTGCTGCCTCTTCACGCATGCCACCTTGCCGAAAGCAAACAAGCAGATGCATAAAAAACGAGAAATGAGTAGGAAAACGCTACATAAGCGGTTTAGGACCCACCCCAAAAATCCTGAAGGAAAAAACCCTCATTACCGATTCCTCGCTTTTTACAGGTTGTGAAATTATCACATTGAAAACCGTGCATTTTTTACGTTTTGCGAACGCATGGGACTTCGATGAAATTTCGGAAATCTTATCAAGCAGGATGGAAAAAGAGCTACTGTATGTAGCGGAAGAAACCAAATCGAATGAAAGGGAAAAGAAAACAAAAACCTGATATTTGTTCCCAAAATGTGGGCAGGTCCCACAAAGCGGTTGACAGACTGCAAGTCACATTCGGGCTGCATGGGCGCCAAGGTTTTAACACGTTGACGACAGCATGACGCGCATCGCGCACGTCAGAATTTTACCCGGTTCTTGGCTAGTTTTTTAAAGGTTTTATTTGGCCTTTTTCATATTTCAAGATTGTGTGCACGCGTCATCTTATCCGAAAAACTGTGAGTCAATTACCAGTAGTGGAATTATTGAAGAGTATATGCGATTATGAAAAAATAACAAAATGCGAACGCATAAGGGGGCTGTCGCCAACGTGTTAAGAGAGAAAGAAATCTTGACGATCCCCTTTTTTTCTTTTCTGTACATAAAAAATATTATTCATCACTGCCAGAAGACAGTAAAGTTGAAATCACTACCAATGGCGCAAATTCGTGGATTACCATTCACAAGGGAGCAGCGGAAACCTCCGATAGCTCAACGTTAAAGATCAATTAAAAATTCACGGAACGGCATGAAGATAGTAAAATACATCTGGTAAATCTGAGCGGTAACTGTAGTGGTATTCAAGTTGATTTTGGTAAAAAGGAGAAAATTCACGAAGCAAAAGCACATGAAGCCACGAAAAGAAGCATCATGATCAACGATGAGGAGGTTCGTTCGAGACATGCGAGGCGACATGACAGGGGATGGTGTAATGTCGTGCCAGAGGAGGACCATATGGCCCGAAACGGAACTGCGAGAACCAATTAAACGCACTTTTTCCATAGAAAAGATGCTTTTCCGCACTCACTGATCTTCACTAGGTATTTCTCACCAAGTCAGCAGTCAACTCGGTATTAACTGTTCCTTACATTATTAGCAGCAGATGAAGATGCGATAAGTTCACAGCAGCAAACACTGTGCTAGGGTCTATCCCAGTAACAGGGGGCATGCCGTTGAGAGTGCTCAACGTGCTTACAACCATGAATAACATATTCTCCTAATGTAAAAGTTTTGGAAAAAGCCATAGAAGGGATGGGGAGCCCCGGGTTCGTGAGCAGTACTCTTTTTCCCTGGGGGTTTCGTCCCCCTTCCTGAGCTCAGTTGTAGCTATTCACGAGGTAAACATTACTTTTCGAAATGTATGTTATCAAACACAAGAACACCTACATTATATAAAAACAGGGAGAATCAACGTAGGAATAAAGTTGATAGCAGCTTGTGACTTTTAAAGGACTCCCTGATCCAACCTGGCATTGGAGCAAATGCACCGTAATGCCCCTCTTACCGGGATACCCCTGCGCTATTCATTATATCATATTAATTGATACTATTGACACATGAATTGCAAATCAGAAACAGTAATATTTTCCCTATTACCAGAAAGAGTCCAAAGCCTAAACCACAACAAATTGGTTTTGGTTGGCGTAGCTCAAAGAATCTGAAGCAAAATGTTGGCAAAGGCAAAAACCATCAAAAAGGTGAAGTCTCTCTGCCTATCTACGGAAATCGGAAATGAAGTTGGTGAACGAGAAATCGAAGGGCATTGTTTATGTTTGCAAACATTGACTAACGGAGGAAGCTGCTGCTATATGAACGACAAATGCACCATGATCGTAGGTACCGTAGGTTGAAGACCACCCAATGGGTTCCAACAGCGCAGGCAAAATCTATCAAACGAACTGAGGAATATCACATAGCAAAACTCGCTGCCAGAACTAGATACTGATCCACATTGCTTCCGCACTGAATCCGTCATAATTTTTTGTTGTGTTCTTGACTCGGTATTACGTGATGAGTCAGCCGAGGCGGGGGTAGGTTCGAATTCCGAAGCCGATGACATCATTCAATGGTAATAAGTTTGCAGTAACGGAAGTGATACTCGTTTACCACTTGCTGGACAACTTTTTCCCTTTGACAGCATCATGTGAGCATCGGTACTTTAGAGGATGAATGACGTATTTTCGTAAGAACATGTCTTAGCGAATAAAGCCGACAGGTCAGCACACTTTGTAGCCACGACGGTAGCATGAACACAGCCGCTTAGAACAAGTATTAATAAACAAATAATGCACAGCCGCTTTGAACAAAGTGATTAACTAAACAATTTACGTTTGGCCGATTTGTGTGGAATATCGCAAAGATCAACTGTGGTTACTTTGCCGACGAAACACGTGCGCACCCAACATTACTTAAAATGTATAAACATTACCTTAAGATTGGAGAAAGAAACGCTAATCAATCACTTTCGGTAGACAGAAAGGAGAAACTCAACAACCAATGATCCAACTTGTCCTCACGCACCCACCGCAGTTTGCTTCATTCAACATCACTTGACCAGTTAGTAGATCACAAAACAATTCTCGAAATTCTTGCCTGCATCACCGCACATACTGTCCGAATATTATCTAAAACAAATCCACGAAGAAACAACACACACTTGCCAGTCTGCCCTCATAGTAGCGATCAAAAGTACCTCATTAGAGCTGTAATAAGAATAGGAACCTAAGCATTCCGAAAATTGGAGAAAGTATATTCACGCCGCTAGGAGGAATGCAAGTGCGATGAAGCAACAATCCCTCTCGATAAAACCAGGTCACCGAGTCCATGTCTCAGGCGATGAAAAAAACTATTGCACCAATAGGAACAGAGTGATGTATACCACTCGCGAACAGCGGCTCCGCGAAATTTGCGCCAGGTCATTGCGCGTATACTTGGGGGTATCTCTTAGAAGGATATTAGGTCTGACTGAGGCCCCGTAGCACGCTGAGAAGGCAGAGAAGCGCAAACGGGCCTATATATCAGCGGGGTAGTAATCGTGTGGATCTAGTTCTTTACTTGACGTAAAATCGCCATTACAATACGCGCTAAGGACTCGTTAGATACTGACGCGTATCTGCGCCGTCTGCCTCCCACGCCGGCCTCACTCGGGTACCCGAAAACTTAAAGGATAATCATGCAAAATGGTGTTTTGGATCACCTTCACCTATCGTCATCTTCGACGAAAAAGCCGACCTTGGACATACATCATGATTAGTCATTCCACCAAAATGTGCAAGCTCACTAGCTCGCACTTCTTACCGGCAAACGTGCGACGTGGTCCAGAACTGGACCAATTTACGCACACCTCCAACGGTCTCCTATGCTGTGTCACTATTGGGTTTTTCATGGTCAAGGTAAGTCAGCGTTACCTAGTATGTCTACACAAAACCAAAAGAGCTAAGCATTGTGTGAGCAAACATTTCAGAAAAAAAAACCGAAGAGTATGGTCTTCAAACGAGATCACAATTGAAAGTAGTGAAGTGTTGCGCTTGAGGAATTAGCGCTTCATAGTACCGCAATGTCACCTAATGAGCGTGACCCTCGAAGTAGCACGTTAAAGGAATCCTTCCTGGAAAATTCTTGCATTCTTTCTCAGCAAGAATGTACTCTCGGAAAAAGTATGTGATATCACTTAACTAGCAATACACAATGTTTTACTCGCGTGAAGTATGGCTCAGTGTTCCGAAGAGATAATTAAAAACTTGCACGTAAGAACTACACTCTATGGACAATCGAAGGTAATTCGGGCGGAGCCAAAGGCGGGGCATGGAATAAGTCCGCACTGGGGCGCCTACGTATCAGGCGACGCAATGAAAGAATCGGGTTAAAGCGTGCAATTTCGGAGAGTAGAGACAAATCGATCGATGAATAGGATGGAGTAGAAGTGTGAGATGTGAATGCAACCTTGTCAACAGTTCAGAAAGAGGTTTAGCGCGACGGCACTCAAGAACCAAGCGGGAAGCATTGCCGTTCGCCAGCCATGTTGTATGTGCGGCGGTACGTATGGAACGGCGCAGAACAGCCTTGCCCGTTTTGTTGTAATTGTTTATTGCACAGGTTAGCACCCATGCTAAATAACGAAAAGCATAAAACGAAAAGCATAAAAACCCAGAGGTAACAAACAAGAGGAACAGTTCCTAGGCTATCTATAGTTAACTAGGAGCTACAAGAGTGAAAGAAAAGAAGAAAAAAAAACGGAGGACATAACAAAGAGTGTTAGGATGCAAGGTACTTTTCTAAGGCTTTCTTGAATGAACTTAGTTTATTCGTTGAAATACCTAGTCTAAGCAGCCTAGTAAACTCCGAGCTAGTTCTGTTAACAAAAAAGTGGCGTCTGACGTTGCGTTTAGCCCTGGCAATTGAAAATTTTGTAGGGCATCCCCTAGTTCTCGATTCCCTAACGAATAGCAAATTATGGGGCTTGAACCCAGAATGACCATGAAAAATCTTGAAGAGCGTTATCAAATCAAATTTCCTCCTTCTGAGCGCTAAAGTTTCAAGATTGAGATTAGCATTCCGTGTTACTCCAGAAGGGATCTGATCATATTTGAAACCGATCACTCTCAGGAAAAGTTTTCGAGTAAAAGTATTTTGAACCCTCTCCAATGTGTTGATAACTTTCACTTTGTGCGGATTAAATATGACACGGTCCCATATTCTAATAGAGGTCTAACGTAGGTTGCGTAAGCTCTGAGGAGCACATGAGAGTCCTTAGTTGTCAAAGCTCTGAACAGGTTGAATGTGAGAGCTGTTGCTTTGGAGGCTATCCTAGAACAGTGTTCATCGAAGCTCAGATCGCTACGGATTAGGAAACCCAAGTCTCTGATTTCATTCACCACCTCTAACTGTACGTCACCGATTGAATATGAGGGATCAACAACAACTTTACCTAAATGTAGAACTTTTGGTTTTTTTCTTGCGGAAAATAGGCAGGTGCCATTGTGCTGCCAACAGTTGGTAATGCATTGATAGCATCTCTGAGGTAATTCTTTTGTCAGAAACTACTGAGGAGACTGGATAGTATGATAGCTTGAAATTCGTACCGCAAATGCAACCGCATTAACTCACCCGCGAGAGCCAGCTAACTCCGGCAGTTCGTATGTGAAGATATTAAAGAGAATGGGGGACAAAACACAACCCTGCGGTACACCGCTGAGCACTGGCGCAGTTTCGGAAAAGATACCATTGACGCGAACAACAAAGGATCGATCACTGAGGAAGGCTTTAACCCAAGCCACAATACGAGGATGAATGCCTACTAGTGCCAGCTTATAGATAAGTTTAGTATGGGAGACCCTGTCAAATGCCTTTGCGAAGTCCAGGTAACACAACATCTGCTCCTTGACCATTGTCTAGGTATGCTTGTCCAGTCATTAAGAGACTGCAGCATTGCAGTAACAGTAGATTTGCCTTTCTGAAAGCCATGCTGGCAATCAGAGATGATACTGAATTCGTCCAAGTGAAGAAGAATCCTTTGCTTTAAGACTTTTTCGAACAACCTAGCGAAGGTGGAAGTTATACTGACCGGTCTGTAATTATGCGGACACGAGGTGGGTTCCTTCTTGGGGATAGGAGTTACAAAAGAAACACGCCACCTCACAGGCACCTCTGCCCTCATAAAACTTAAATTGAATATGAATGCAAGTGGTCCTGAGATAATATGCGCCACCTTTTTAATGAATTCCAAAGGAAGATGATCCGGCGTATCCGAATGAGACTGAGGCCAACTATTTAATAACTTATAAATCTCCTTACTATCAAACCAAACAGAGTCGCTCATGACAGGAAAAATAGGATTGGCGCTAGATACTTCACTGTCATCGTCTTTTGAGTAAGCGTTTTGAAAAATTTTTGCTAAAATATCAGCTTTTTCCTTATCGTCATTTATTGGGCAACCTTGATCGTCGAGGAAAAAGCCAACATCCTTCCTTTTTCTGAGCTTAGAATTGAGAAATCTGTAAAAGTTATTCTTACTTTTGGAATAAATGATCTTTTTCTCTATGTATCTGTAAAACTTGTTTAAACTTTTTTCAAAAGAATGAAGTGGCTTTTTTATAATCCTCCCAATCGTTCTGACTATCACTTGCCCTAGCTTTCTCCCATGCCACACTCTTTTTACGGTTTAGTCTATCAATGTGACTGGGTAGTTCCACCCGTCTTGATTTATGCGTTACGAGAGGAACAAAAAGCTGAATAGTGTGGTGAAGAATAAATAAGAATAGCTCGTATTTTTCATTGACCGTTTCCACAGTAGCCAATGAACCAAACCAGTCAATGTTGCTAAGATAAGCTAAAATGTCATCGAAGTTGGCCTTCTTAAAATTTCTCTTCATGGATATGCCTGAACTCTCTTCCATTCGAGTCGTAATCCAAAAATGGACAGAGGCATGGTCGCTATTTCCGATGGGTGCTTTGACAGCAACGTCCCTAACAAGACCTTCACTGTTGGTTAGAACAAGATCTAGAATGTTGGTGCCATGGGTTCCCTTTGAGACCAACTGATGCAGATTAAGATTTTCACACAGCTCGACGAATCGACGTGCACTGAGGCTAGCGGGTCTGGAGTCCATATGAGGGGACCACAGAATATCCGGGAAGTTGAAGTCCCCAATTACAAGGAATTTGTTGTTATCAGCTACCAAATCTCCAAGAGCTTTTAACAACTGATCGAAAGCGGAAGATGCGCACGAAGGAGATCGGTAAACTAGTACAATTCTAATTCTAGAATAGCCTAGATCCAAATCAACACACATGACTTCATAAGCTTCGACAACTGACTCACTGAAAATCAACCGCGGATTGCACATCCTTTTAACAATTAAAGAAACCCCTCCTCCACGTCTATTGCATCTATCGCATCTGAGAATAACAAATTGTGTACAAAGTTGGCCGAATAGGGATTCACTACTAATTACTTCTGAGAGCCATGTCTCAGTCAGAGCTATAATGCCGTAGTTACCAAACTGAACCATGTGCTGAAGTTCGCTTAAGTTCCTAGGTATCGATCGGATATTAGCCAGAACGCACCTTAGTTGAGTACCATACATCCGAGGAACATTTAACCATTTGACGCTGACAATGAACTAACCGAATTAGGCGAAATATGCATGGTATCCACATTATGATTGAATGCAGGCGTACAATTCGTGTGATCACTGGAAGCAAAAGTCTGGCCAACTGCGTAGCCAGATTGACCGTTCACTCTTTTGCTGAGGGGAGCACCTCTCTGGGCCCGAATACGTTCCCGTTCCTCTTTGGAGAGGGAAGGTCTTATAAAGACCCTCGAAACGGGAGCAAGATCTTTTAGTTTATGATGGCGTATTTACTTTTCGGATTGGATGAGTTTGAACGGAGTTATGGCTTTAGGAAGTAAAAAAACTCGCACTCATCACAAATTTTCCTCGTTAATTTTGCAAAAATCCTCGTAATAACTTCGTATAGCATACATTATACGAAGTTATACGAACGTGGTGGGCAATACAACCTTCAATAGCCTATTCGAAATGACGGGCTTGGTCGCACCCATGCGCGGCATTTAGAATTCAATTATAGGAGCCTTTCGCAATCAAGATAGTTCAAGATACATCGTCAAACACAGGCTGAAGGAGCCAGACACGATCATGAGCAACTTTATCAGAGCATTTTTGACTACGACTTTCCGGTACACCAATTACTACAAGAGACCTTCTTCGCTCAACTTCATCATATGTTAACGACGATTCCGTCAAAGAGTGAGGCTTACGAGGCAAAGATTGAGATTCATCACAAACAGGAACGTTTGAGGAAGAATTTTTGAGATTATCAAGAGCTTTACGCCGGTTTCGATTTTTCGAATTTTTACTACCAAAACAAATGCAAGTTTTCTGTTCTTTTCGTTCTTGTGTGGATGATGGGTCTCAAGCCAGGGAATTATGGCTGAAATTGAATCATGATTTTCCGTAAAAGGATTCCTTTAACTTAGAAAGAGCTAGAGGAGGCGCCGCTTCACGATCTGATATGGATCGGGATCAAGAAAACTGTAGCATTATAGCCTTCGGTTGATTCATAGGATACCAGGGTTATCAAATATAGCAACATGGCTTTAGAACGTAACGTTACTTGCTTGCTCCAAGCCACCGAAGAAATTGAAAAAGAAAGCGTACGAAAGGGATTGCTCTGTGGTAATGTACCACGACAGCAACTGACCCCATAGCTATCTTCTTTTATCCTGTGCGAAGCTGCCAGTTTATTCGGATATTGTTAACCTTTAATGTCGTTTAACTGCAGTAAGGACCAGACATGATTTGCAGCATCAAGCCCATATCTAAATGTGTGTGCAATCGGCAAGCAATCGTCGCAATGTTTGCGTTTATTAATGTAATCGTTGAGTAGGATGTCGACTGTATATGCGACAGAACCACCTTGTTCAGGAATTTATAATCTCGAGAAATCTTACCATAATACAGACTTTGTGGCACTCTTGGCATATACCAAAAGATTACGTGTACTCAAGGCATAGAACACATGTGTGTGTACATGCATGGTCTTGAGGTAAAAACTTCCTCCAAAGATTATGATCAGTTCCCCCTTGAGGCAGTTGACTCTCTAACTCAGTTGGGCAGGTAGCTGAGATGTGAAAGTGGAGTTGATTTAAATGCGTGTGCGGGTAGTGAAGAAGAGAGTAACAGAGATGGTAGGTCCACATCTTGCGACATGGGATCCCTCTCAAACCCGTTGAATTTGGGCTCTACGAGACTCCTAGGAGGCTGGCTGTAACTCTGTGCAGCAGGAGCCAGAGCGGAGACGGACAAACGCCAGCAGCTAAGGCACAATTGTTAGGGCGGAAGGGCCTGAATAAGTCGCTTCGAACGTGTATCTCGGCGCAGATAGCACCACGTAGCGTCTGCTTAAGATTTTTATCCTTCCCTTTATATTAAGCACACGTTCCCTCTCTCAAAGTGCACGCCGACTGTATCTCGCAAACATAGTCCTTTAGGCACACGATCGCGGGTAGCGAAAGTGAAGAAAAACACGCTAAAAAGCACTCACCTCCAAGGCAGAAGCCGCCCACACGCTCCACGCCAGCTCTTTTCATTCCACCAGTGCGGCCGACTTAGTCCCAAAATGTGCAAGTTTATTAGAAAGATCAGAAACAGATCTAGTTAGGATCACCGAGACTTCTTCACCCTAAATTAGTTTTTTGAGTAGAGATCCTTACCAGTTCGAGCCCGCTTTGATTGATCATAATGGCAAGTCGAATCCTTGGCGCACTTCAAAGGATGAAATGGTCAGCTACGACAAATTCAATTTTTGTCATAAACCAGATCCCAATCAGCAGAGGGCTTCCTTGCTATAACGCACTTCACGAAAATGGCAGCAGGGGGACAACGGTCGAGGAAATCCTCGACCATGGCTCTATACTGAAGAATAGTGTTGAGAGTGAATGTACCAACGAAGAACACAGACAGCTCGCGCGCGCGGAGAGTGAATATCCGCGCGGGAGAGTTTGATTATACAGGCAGAAATTCTCAACGAGTCCTCGACCGATTTTCACCTTCAATGAAATATTCAAATGTATGAAAAATCAAAACTTACGCCGTAATAACGAGTTTACAACATCTAGTCAGTCCATCGATAGGTAATATCGTGAAGGAACTACATGGAAACCGCGTTTGAGCCGATGTAAAAGAAGCATTTTAAGAAATTCTACTGGATTACGACCAAAGTTCGGAAATGGAAAACTGCGTGTTTTCCTTCGAAGTTTGGTCGGACTTCCATTCACCACACAAACACCCTCAAACCACAGGATAAAGGTCAGTGAGTACACCGATTAACGATAAGCACAATAATAGGTTTAGAAAGTACAAAAGCTCACAACGCTTGTTTTCAGATTGCGCTGCTACGCAACGTGGAATCCCGCAAAACGATACTACCCTCGACACCAGTGAATCAGCAGGACGACGAGGAAGACGACGACATTGAGATAAAAGAATTCTATCAGAAGGATTCCTCAACCGAGGATCTTAAGGATCATGAAGAGAAATCGACGAAGATGCTTTAGGCTTCGATAAAAACTAAACCGAACAAAGTAAGTTAACAAAAGAGCTGGAACGATGACGAAGGGTTCACTCCAACCCTTTCAGGCCTTCAAGGTGGGTAAAACATCTTATTTTTAGTAGGGCGGCAACACTCCGAAAAATATTATCAATTTTTTTTGAACAGTTAGTTGTTATTGTGCCGAACAGGTTTAGTATGGTGAAAGAAAGGCGGACATGGAGAACTACCATTTTTTTCAGAATCCAACTTTCATGAAAATGGAGTTACATAATTTAATCATGTATAAAAAATGGAGCTGCAGTAACTTAAGCTGAGAAAATAGCCGCGGCAGAAACACCCCTGGCAATCTAACGGAGGTCTCCTGCTATCAAATTAGCCGTTTTACACCGCTATTTTTGCTGTATCATCCCATTCATAGGGCGGAAGTGGTGTAGTGGCAAGTGGCACGCTTACCACGCGAGCGGTCCGGGGATCAAATCCTGGGTCGTGAGTCGCCCGGGCCAACCAAGCCTTCCATCCCTCCGGGGTCGGTTAATTGGTACCAGACTTGTCTGGGAGGATAAAAACACTGACTTGTACATCGGCTGGCCCCGTCATTGTATAGGCCACATCGCATTCAAACGCCACTACGAATGTACAAATGGAAGTAGAATGCGTGCCGCATCCCAAAAAGGGATTGATCAACGGCAAATGCTTTATCCTTTTTACCCCACTCATCTCCACTGATCCCTTCCCTGACCCCGCCAAATTCCCTAACACACCTCCTTCTCTGGAGGTCGAACACAACCCTCTGCCGAGACATCCTAGATTGTGGTTCATCTCAAACTAATATTTCCGATACGGCACAACCGACTTCATTTTAAAGGAGTATAATTTTCACAGAATGTCAAGAGCAATGCGCTATCACCAGCCCGAGCTACGACACATGCTGGTTAGGCTTGTCTGGTTTAGGTGGGTTCTGGACCGTAGCACCACATCTTCCTAGACAAAACCGCTTTTCTGCAGAGGAGTTGCTCAAATTTCCTTGAGGTGCTCAAAGTTCCCCTACGTTTCGAGCATAGCCCTTCGTACAACTCGGACTAACCCTGAATTCCACAAAAATCAACGCACTGACCACACACTAGCTACCGTGGTTACTCACGTATCTAACCCAGAGCCCTCGCAAAACCTTCATAATCAACGATATGAGAATCGTAGACAAAACCTGCTTTATATTAAGGTTACGGTGAAATAAAAAGTGTCTTGATAGAAACCTGAATAAAGTATTACTCAAAAATGAGAGCTATTTACTTAGTATACTTTGCGATCAGCCTTAATTCAACACAATTCTTAGCACACCTTATAAACGAAGCGAGTCAACACACACATTCATTATCGAAGGAAACAGCAATAGCGCTCTGACGAGGGCTGCTGGAAGGAAACGCAGTTGTTGCGCTGCGATTTCGTTAAATGCCGACCGGAAATGATCAAATTCCCACCGGCTTCACATCCGTTTGTCTAAAGAATGAGCGGAAGTGTTAGGCAAGTTCCTGCTAGGGAAATCAAGGAAGATTATAAAGGAATGAGGATGGGATGGTGGAGCCGGAAGAAAGTAAAAAAAAACGCCGGAAACCATGAAAATAAGTATAAAATATCATGGACAAAATCGCAAACTAAGGCTATGTCATCCAGTGAAAGAACACTTGGAGGAATTATGCGAGGAAGAGTCAGCAAAACGACTGTTACAAACCGAACCGGAAGTGCATTTGACACACTTGAGAAGGAGCATCCGGAGCTATAGACCAGGAGGTGAGAGCTTGGAATTCGGAGGTGGGTGTGATAGAAAAATGAAGTAGCTGAGGTAAACGGTAAGATTTAAAAAAATCATTAGCGTTGAGGTTGGAATCAAGTGCCGTATATCGTACACACGCGAGGGTTGCCTGGAAAACAGCACAAAAGACGCGATGAGGTAGAGAGGAGGTCGAAGTAAGAGACCGATACAGATAAAGAGAGAGAGGCAAGAGCATTTCGTCAACAGCCACACAGTTGTCGTCTGCATTGCCCAGCATTACATCGTTCCGTTTTGCTGGCCGCTCAAAAGGCAGAGCGGTCAGCAATTTGGATTTCAGAACAATCTCAAAAGGAATCCATTACGCATTCGAAGCGCCGTTACTCACTCGCAATTACCTTTGACCCGAGTTTAAACAGATCAGCCACGGCTGATAGAAGCAGTGGCGATCAGATGAAAGCTAAACCGAAAACACACATCGGATATCATTGGGACAAGGTTTCCTTTCTGGTTGTGATCAGCAACTAAAACGCAAGATTGAAATTACTTTAGACTTTCGACGTTCATGGCCTATTCTGAGATGAGAGCTCCTTCAGAACTTTTCTAGCGTCATGGCACTAGAAGGTTCTCTAAAACAACCAGTGCTTAAAGCGACATACCACTCTAAGAAAATTCACTTCTACCACAAATACCCCGATATTCGAGATCTTCAAAGCGCCAAATAATCGATACTAAAAGCTTGAAGAATCTTACGCTACCGCGACCCGATTTGCTACTTTCGTTGACTCTATTCACCCAAGTTCATTCGTTCGGTAAAACAATGATTCTACAAGAAAAAAAGCCTTAATCTGATTTTGACTTGTTTTGAAATGGTGCCCCGGTAGCGTAACTGGTAGCGCACTTGCCCGGAAAGCGAGAGGTGCGGGTTCTAGTCCCGCCTGGGGCGAAAGTTTTGTTCACAACCCAGCATTCTTGTGAAACCTTAATCTGATGTTTCCTTGGATCACGGCAGCCCATTGCATAAGCACGGAGGGTCTCTCAGGTCAAGCCGTGTTTTTTCAAAACGGTTCTTTGCATATTGTAGGGACGCATGTATGGACCACAAAACCATGTTTCATTTTCGCTGAACGGTTTAGTAGTATCAAAAAAGTAAAAGGTACTGTTAATGGTTCGATCCCCGCGGCGACTAAATTTTGCATTCAAAGTTGGGGGCTGTTCGTTGGCTTCAAAATGGTCCTACTATGAAAATGACATCTGGTTTTGACAATTTACGCCAACCCGTAGGCGCCAACCTAAAATGCAAAATTTAGTCGCCAGGGAGGATCGAACCACAGACTTCCGCAACTTCTTTGGTCCAACTAGAACCGTTCAGCGAATAATGAAACATAGTTTTGTGTTCCATACATACCTAGAATGTGCAAAAAACGGCTGAAAGATCCTTCTTGTGAGTGAAGTGAAGCGCTTCCCCAACTATGGACCGAGATGAATGGCGTATCTATTCCCATTGTTCAGCTTCACTAGTAGATGCAGTAGTTCAATGACAAATTCAGAACTGGTTCAATCCTCATATATCCAGAATACCAGAGCAAAATGCATACAGTTCCTCCCTTTCGATTGGCGTTCACATGGCACGTGCACGTACATGCTTGCGTGTTGTGCCTGTTTTAGCAAACCCCAAAAACAGCGCTAAAATCCGCTCAACCTCGGGAATCTTCAGAAAGGCTTTAAAATGCCCTCCAACTTCCTGAATCAATTCACATACTTTTACTTGGGACTTTATAGGTTGCGCTTATCATGAAAGGATGACGGGTCGAAGTGGCTATAAGCAACGATACCAATGCTGGCATTGTGCTTTGGACGTTGATCTCGAATTTGCTTTCCAAAGCTGCCAAACGATTTTCTGGGCAAGTTATGAAGCAAAACAGAGCAGCGGTCCGGACTGATGAGCGAGAGGTCGTAGGTTCGATTCTCTGAGGGCGATTAGGCTACAAATTTGCAACTAAGGGCATCTTTACTCTAGAATACGAATATCACATCTGTTTGCTGCAAAAACGTCTGCCAAGAGTTCTGTGGGCTCCATGTGCAGTCTTTAGTAAGTACCGCCGAAACTGATTAGAAACTCCTCGCAAAGTCTTTGCACGGGTAACTACAGGCAAGCATTGATCGAGTAAGGTAGTTGGGAGCCTTTTCAATCATTTTGCAGCGAAGGCAAAAAAGAGAACCCGCCAGGGAATCGATCCTACGACGTCTCGCACGTGAGCCCGGACCACTACCGCTGCACTATTTTGCTTCATAACTCCGTTCAGAAAATCGTTTGGCAGATTTGGAAAGCAGATTCGAGATCAGCGTCCAAAAACACATCCAATAGGTCTCATTGCATATAGCCACTTCGACCCATCATCTATTCCAGCTAAAAACAAGAGATACTTTGCGACTTATATTAAAACCACTGATAGCCACGCATATATGGCCGAACGTGTTGCTATTCAATGAAGCCTGATTAACACTTCTCCTAGAAAAAAACCATTCTAGGCATTATGGCTTTATGGTGCGATCTCCACCGGCACTTAGAACGCGTATGAAATCATTGCTGTAAAAGGAACAACCCAAGCAATGCCTTTCAGAGCGAAAGAATTGGGTTCTGCAAATGAGTACAGACACATGGCTTAGCGAATATCGAATGAAGCCAAGTTGAAGTTCCATTTGATACAGCATAGAGGATGTGAAAAGTGAACATCAGCGAGGTTCAATAAGAACGCTGTTAATTGATACGATTTCCCCCGAGATTTCTTGAGATTACCCTTGATTGATTAACAATGGCAAGAAAGATCATTGAAGACCACACATTGCACAGTTGCTGTAGGTTAAACACCACGGATAAAACACATCTCGCTGTAGAAATACGGTAGGATTCCCATGACTAATGGCAGTAGCTTATGAAAAAAGAGGGTCGCCACAGACCTCAACGATCTTTGACTATTAGTAATTAACCACAGGAATGTATGGTGGGTTTGGCGCCACGATTTCCTCATAACAAATTCCGAAAACTGCCCTCTCCTCCTTGCACGATACCTCGCCTTTTCGCCACAGACCACTTGGTTCGAAGATATTTTGTGAAATTGAAATTCTGGCCTAAAACGCTGCAACAGCATCTGTGAATGAAGGTGGTTCATAATATATGGTATGGCATGGTAGGATGAACAGCTTGTATTAGCAATATGAAATTTCAATCCATAAAAAAAAGACAGTAGGCTTCGAAGCGCTCAGCAGAAGACCACAAAGAGCCCGAAATAAGAGGAAGGGGATGGGGTCAAGAAGGATACCAATGAGGTTCTAGCAACGGAGAATATGCTTTGGTTAGAATGTAATGGGGGGGGGGGGTGCGTAAGAAAAACAGCGTATTCTTGACAGCTTTGGAATAACCTAAGGAGAAGATGATCAAACGCCAATGAATAAGAAGTGTGAATATAAAAATCAGCGAGCGTCGATCAAGAGCAGCCTACGGAACTCGGAACACGGTGCACTTTGGGGTACGGTGCCGTTTTCCATATACACTCCTCAGTATTAGTAAAGCAGGAATCTATTGTAGCAAAAACGCTTCGAGAGTTTAAAATGCGCAGGTTAAGAAAGAAGATCAAGACGAATTCCTAGAAAAATACAGAACAACTCATTATACTAGTCAGGCGCCATGGTAAAATCAATAAAAAGTTTAGCATCTCCCAAGAATAACGCCTCAAATTCACGAAGCTCCAACATGAAAACTCTTGTATTTTCAGGAGCATAATGGATACATACACCACCAGCAGCAGCAGGGAGGAGATGCCTTGTTGGGAAGTGACGCCGATTTTCACGCACGCAGACCTGGGTCAAAGCTGGATCGAAAATCGCCCTGGCTAAGTAAGTTTTCAGTATATCCGGTGGCATATGATTGATATCTGACCTGTTTAGGAGAAGAACACTATTTTCTACACGAATTTCGACATTCTATTATTGTGTCCCTAAGCAATTCTAAAGGCGAAATCCATCCAAATGCCACGAGCATTCAAAAGGAAGTAGAGTGCGCGGCGCATCCCCAGACGAACCAATCAATGCCAAATGTTTTACCCTTTACAAGCACAGCAACTGACAGCGAATCTCAGCTCCAACTTACTGTCTGGGAGGGGTGAAAATCGGTCGAGGATTCGTCGACGACTCGTCGAGGATTTTTGCCTGTTCAGTCACGCTCTCCCGCGACATTCACTCTCGCCACGCGCGAGCCGTCTGTGCTCTCCGCGCGTACATTCACTCTCGACACTATTCTCACACAGTACAGAGCCATGGCTGAGAAGCCATTCCTCGACCGTTATTCATTCTGTATCTGGGAGATAAATTTAGAATGAAATCAAGTTTGCAGAACGATGAAGCGAAAATTCCACATATTTGAGTTGATCAACAAGTTTATTCTAGAAGTCAACCGAAGTATCGTAGTCATAAGAGAAGGAACTGCTTCTTTTGAATAAAATTTAATTTTCCATGGAACCTATAGAAACCTTCAATACGCTGATCTCGAGTCGCAGAGCTGTCAGCAGCCGAGCCGATGTTGATGAGTATTGAAGTACAAAGGCACATAAGAAACGACTTCAGTCGTTGTTCCAACAGCTTACTTGTACAACATTCCAGCATCACTTTTTTACGGCATTCAGCCGTGCATGTGTCTGCCGGCCCGTCAAGCAGTAACCCTTCCAGCGCACACACAATTCCTCATCGAATAAGATGTGCGGTCCAATGGATGTGCATCTGAGCAGATTATTTTTCTGATCAAGATAAAAAGGCGATATGATTGAAAAGTGACTTTGCACTACATGCATCAAAATGCATGAGAAGAGATAAATGAAGCCGAAGTGGCCTGCTGGCCTCGACAATAGACTCGGGCAAAAGTTAATGGCGCGTTTTTTTTTCCTTTGCAGTAAACAGCAGACTTGCTGATTGACTCGGCTCCCCTCCTTTCGAACATCGACTTCCGAGCGTACGTGTACGCATGTATGCGTGTGTGAGTGTGAGTGCCGTTGGTTGCTGCTGCTGCTGCTGCTGCTGCTTAGAAGTGTAGGCGAACAGCGAGCAATAACAGCTCTCTGCGCCCAACTTCTACGGACCCATCACTCATGCATTCGTGCCACCACAACTGATTCGTTTACCAGTTCGTGCACGTGAAACGCTCACCTATCACCGGATGCCAATTTGGGTGATCCCAAAGACCTTACGACACACCTACGAAAATCCCCGACAGCCCTGTCAGCGGTTAGCAATCAACTGAATCGTTCAGCTCTAAAAAGTAAGTTCAACGAGGCAAACGCGTTCACTTAGATCGGTTTTCAAGTCATTGCGTAAGAAGTGGGAAAAGGATTGTTTTTCTAGGGGTAACACTTGGCGTACACTTGACCAGGTTTTATGAACCTCTGCAATTGCTTCGCAAATCGCTGCTTTGTGGACAGGTAGCATCAGGGTGTCCACGGCTTTGCAGGGTTCCGCGAATATTTCTCAATTATCGCGGTTTCGGAGGACTATACCCAAAAAAGCGAAAGACATGGGAGCGTTCATGGCACATGAAATCGCGCGAGTTAAAAGAGAATCTTCATGCAACGGAAAAGGACGTGAATCCAGCCCAACAAGTTGTGAGGAACCTACACATGAATCCAAAAGCGGCGATTTCTTGCAGAGTTTGTTCAGAAAGAATTACCCCGACCGAAAAGAATTACTCAAAGGAAAGTGCACAAAGGTCAGCAAACCGACGCTGGTTCAACAAGTTCGACGCCTGGCGGCAGCGATCTGTCAAAGAATTCGCGTCACAGCGTTGTTGATGTGAGCCCACACACAGCAACGGAACTCCCGAACTTACGTCATAAAAATAACTGCGGTACTCGAGCTCATTTCCGGGTATTCAATTACGTACTTGTTCCAATACTTACGTAGTTTTCCGCACAAGGTTTCAGTTTCCGATATCTACACAAAATCAATAAGTCAGTAACCATTTCCCAATACTTATCTTGATTTATCCTGAGCTGATGGAATTTTACCATCACCGCCCAAAAACACCTGACAGGCCAAAATTTAAGATTTCGGTTTATGAGTAATTGAACTGCATCATGGGTTAGGATCAGAAGTTCAGAGAGATCTTGAGATATTGAAATGTAGGTTAGTCCATTACATGTATACATAAAAAGGATAAAACATTCGGCGTTGTTCAACACCTTTTTAAAATACGCCACGCACTCGCCTTCCATTTAGAATCGTGGAGGCATTCGGATGCTACTTGACTTACATACATATACACTGGACTTCCAGAAGTCATCCGGATTACAACTCCGATTTTTATCCTTTTAGACAAGTCTAGTATTAACTCACCAAGGAAGAAGAGATGAGAGGCTTAGTTACCCTGGACATCGTAATTTGCAGGGTTTGGTACTCGGACCGTGTTTGCGGTAAACGATCACCCACCACTTTTACTTTATCATTTATTTATTTACATGTTTATTAAACATTGGGCGGAAGTGGTGTAGTGGCAAGTGGCACGCTTACCACGCGAGCGGTCCGGGGATCAAATCCTGGGTCGTGAGTCGCCCGGGCCAACCAAGCCTTCCATCCCTCCGGGGTCGGTTAATTGGTACCAGACTTGGGAGGATAAAAACACTGACTTGTACATCGGCTGGCCCCCGCAAGTCATTGTATAGGCCACATCGCATTCAAACGCCACTACGAATGTACAAATGGAAGTAGAATGCGTGCCGCATCCCAAAAAGGGATTGATCAACGGCAAATGCTTTATCCTTTTTTTACATTTAACATTGACCATCAGAAG